CTAATGTACCTGGTCCTTGATGATAAGTGATAAAAAGGAAAAATGTTTCTAACATTGTGTTGATGTTGAGCTAAGTTGAAACAGGGCCTAAGCTTATGAAAAGCACAGAGTTTGTCATCATCAAAAAGGGGGAATTTGTTGGCCCAAGAGAAGGTTAGTTTTGAAGATTGACAAAGAAAGCTCAGCATGAACCAGGTCCATCCTCCAGGTCCATCCCTCAGGTTCACAAAAACGGGCAGATTCAAGCATGTGGGATGCACGTGAAGGAGATAAGCTTAACTTGGTGTATTTAATATCTCCTGATCGAAAAGGTTGCATAATTGATAAGGAGAAGGACTCCTTACTCAAAGAGAATACTATCCAAGATAGGGAAGGAGTTAGAAGTTAAAATCAACTACAACTCCTCCACCAAGGAAGAGCTGCATTAGAACTCTAGTTATTTCTTCATCTACTAACTCTATAAATTGCAGGATGTTCTCACATTATGGTATTGCACAAAAACGCAGAAGTTAAACGTGAATTGGGAGCAAAATAGCAAGGCTTTTTGCAAGCAGTTCGTGTGTGATTCAAGTGTGCAAACCTGAAGCTACATGAACCAGATTGAAGAACCAGCTCCATAAAGAGTTTTATGTGTCTCTCTTTATTTCTAGTTCAATTGTAGTAGGTGTTTTCATATTGTACCTTTCAGCTTTATCTAGAAGCAATTGTAATAGGTAATTTGAGTATTCAAGTTAGAGTTAACTTGAAGTTGTAGCAGCAGTTAGAGGCTGGTTGCCACAACGGGATTAGAGTTAATCCTTAGGTTTACAAGAGTTTTGTAAATGTTATTTTGGCTCAGTGATTTTAGTGGAAGTTTGGGAAAATCCTACTGAGTAGTAGGTCGTGGTTTTTTCACCTTTTGAGCCAGGTGTTTTCCACGTAAAAATACTTGTGTTCTTTATTTTATGTATTTATTATTCCGCAAACAGCAGTAGTTGGAAAACATAGAAGAACCAGGTCCTTCTATAGTTCGATAAGCGAAAATTGGGTACCACACAAATCACCCCCCCCCCCCTTCTTGTGTGGTATTGACGTTTATAACTTCAGTTGTGTCGTCCATCTTCACCACCAGGCTCTTTGTTCCTCGATGGAGCATGTGGATCATCGTGCCTCGAATAAGTTGAGGGGCAAAAATATTGAGCATATGTCCCAAAGTGACCTCTCGACCGGCAAGCTCCGCGAACTTGAGCAGCATGAGGAACAACTTGTATACGTACGGCGAATGCTGAGCCGGGCACACTTCGTAGAAACGGCAGAAGTCCACCACTAAGGAAGGGAGAGGAAGCGTATACCCGACAACAAAAGGGTATGCGTAGAACGCGCAGTATCCTGGGCGGTCCAAATGCACAACATCATCTCCCGCCGCCGGCAACATCTCAACATGGTTCGAAATCCCCTATTTGGTCTTAAGCTCTACAATCGCCGCTTCATCCATAACAGAGGGAACGGGATCCGGTTCCTCTCTGGCAGTGCTGTTGAAATCAGTCCATAACTTCCCCGGACGGGGTAATATTTCGGCCGCTGTTGGAACCCCCTCATCCTCCGCCACCTCCACTCCTTCGATAGAGGGAGCATCATTTTCCGGCACCGGAACTTCGGCAAGTCTGTCAGTACGGGAAGAAGTACCAGCCATTTGTCTCGAGTGATCAGAATAAATGAGTGAGAGGAAGTTAGAGGGAAGATGGTGGTGTCGAGTTCTGACAGACGAGAGAATGAATTTAGAAGTCTGGAATGTTGAAGAAGGTAAAGGTTTGTAAAACTCTTCAGATGAATCGGAAAATGTAGCGTAAGAATGGTATTTTATCTCTATTTATAGGAGCATGAATGTCCCGGGCGAGAAACCTAAGAGCCACCAATCAAAAACTAATAGGGCACGGAAAACGATACGGTACCTAGGAAACATGCGCCCCAACGATGCATAAAGGGCATTCATGATGATGCAAACAAACGCGGCGGTTCAGTTCCGAACTGACGTAACGGTTCGATAGTACCATCAAAACGCCATATCGCTTTCCTTAACCTAAAGTTCTCGTTCGACGCACAACGACCAGATTTCTCCTAACTTACAAATCAACAAAGTCTGTCCGTTGAGTCCACCAAGAAGCGACCCCATCGAACGGAGGGACTAACTGTATAGGTCAAAATCTGATCATGGGTTAATCCCTAAGAGGAAAGATATGGATTCGACCAAGTCGTAGTCATGCCCACAAGGCAAGATGGCAAAGGGCACCTCGACCATCGTCGGGGCCAGACCGTAAGAAAGCTTACGTAGCGGAACCGATGTAGCGGTCAAGCAAATGAAAGAGGGCGTGGTAATGAGAAAGTATGCTGGTCAAAGACCATTGGACAAATATGGAAGCTGTTAATATAAATAGGGGTAGCTAAACCTAAAAAAAAGAGGGGGCCACGAGAGAAGCCAGAAGGAAGAGAATCCCTAAAGGAAGAACAGTTCTTTCACTTCTTTTCTGTTTCCTCCATGTTCATGAGATAAATCTATCACAAATGTAAGCTTATCACATATGTTTAATGTATAATTATGGTATGAAGAAACCTTATCCGCGGTTATTCTTCTTCTTCCTTTATTCTCTACCCTGCATATCTAGATCTGGGATTAATTATGTTTAGCTAAGATTTACCTTCTTCAATTTTAACAATTAGTTCGACAAGAGGGTTTTCATACTTTTTTGTTTAAACAATTGGCGCCGTCTGTGGGGAATTTCTTAGTTTCCTTCAGATCTGGAACCGGCGAAACGCCGCCACCCACTTGAATGAGCGGTAAATAAACCTTCGAGATGACAAATACTAACCTAGGACAGGCTGCCACATAAGAGCAAAAGTTACGACAAGTATCTCTGCGAAACCCACATCTCGCCAATAGCGATAGGGTTAGCACGACACACATATGTTCGAAGCAGGATCATAGTCATCTGGCATGGCCATACCCCCATTCGACGCATCTTACTTACCTGTATTAGCCCGTATTCCTATCCTTAATGAAAGAACGGGAGCTTACCATGCGGTCCTAATGGGATGGGTACACATGTTAGCCCATGTCCCTTGACGAGATCGGATCGGGACTCGATCTCAATACTTCAACAAGCAAGGTGGGCTCAACCCACACGAAGCTCAGACGCTATTACATATGGAGCCGAACACGGCCGTCAAATCTAAAACCAGGCAGGGCGAGTAACACTATAATGCTGCTCTTGACGTTGACCCGTCAGATCGAGGTAAGGGAAATTTTATTTTGGTTTATCCTCTGTTGTTGATTTAGACAGGAACGCAGGCACTTGCCTGGCCAAGCGAGCAAGGGAGCATTCCAACTAGAGACAGTGGAAGGAAAATCACTACCAAACAATTGGAACGTCGCTCACCTCAAATGCTTCAACTTCTGAAAAAGGACGCCACCCAAGATCGTACTCTCTTTTCCTCACCCGGGCTTTGTCCTAATTGGGTTTTCCCGGGTAGGTTTTTGGCGGGGCAACGAAGGGGACGTCTCGAAGTTAGGCCCAAAATATATAGGCCCCAAAATCTATAAATAGTATATAATATTTAATAATTATGCACTTATTGATAAAGATTTTAAATCATTAGTTAAAATAGTTATAGCTAAAAGTTTACACATCTTAAATTGTACTCACTCCGGTCCAAAATAGGTGATTTTTTAGCTATTTTCACACGGATTAAGAAATTCACCTTTAATCATTAATTAGCAATAAAATTGACCATATTAACCTTTACTATCTCTACACATAAACACTCCTAACACACACTTAACACTATTTACTCCAAGGGCAATGTAGGAAAAAAATAATTAATTCACTCTTGAAATCTGGAAAAATCACTTATTTTGGACCACAAAAAAAGGCCAAAAAATCACTTGTTTTGGACCGGAGGGAGTAGTTACTAGTTGTTTCCTGTCTTTAATTCGTCCCAGCTTAAATCGATCTTCTTACAATGTTAGTTTAGAATAAGTTTTCTTAATTCTCTTGGTGCCTTTGTAAAAAAAATTCAAGCTACTTTGATAAGTAACTATTAAAATTCGTCCTCAGCATTGAATGACTCTCGAAACATAGTAGTTACTACATTATTATTTGTTTCAACTTATATTTAAAATTAAAAGTTCTAAGAGAAATTGTATAAGTAGAAGAATCCTCTAATTGGCAAACTCAATCAGGTAAAAGTGTTTATTCTATTACCGTAAATAATTTTTATATCAGTTGCCTCGGTTGAAAAAGTTTTTCAAAACTAAATCAATAAAGTTCAACATGATAAAATAAGAGAGATTAAATAAATTAGTTAGACATTGAAATAATTAAAAATGATTAAAACTTTTTTAGATCTTGAATGCATGTTTAGCTGCAAAGTAGATAACCCAAGTAACTTAGACATCCAATTTTGAAGCAGGTTATTATAAATAAAACTCAAATTAATATTGTTACACGTTTTGAAATGAGAATTCAAGAACGGACTGATGAATGATGTTCTACTAATATCTGTGTACTTTGAATGCAGCCGAGAGGAGAGCATATGGACGAACACAATCACTAAAAAGGGATAATTAGTTTACAAACTACTCCCCACGAAGTCTCAGTTATGGTCAATTCAACTAGCCAATACCCTCTGAATAGTGAATCTAAAGAATAAAATCTTCTCTTTAGAATCAATCGACTATATATGAAAGTCAAAAAGTTGTTTGTGAGAACCTTGTTTAAAGTTTAATATAGTTCTCTCTTAAGCAAAAAGGAAAATATAAAAAATTATGTGACACAATTTGAAACTATAAAGAAAAAGGGAAGGTCTAAAATAATTATCCCTAAACATTTCATACGGCAAACACTCTGCATAATGCTCTAGTTTTCTCCCCTCTTGATTGCTTTCAGCCCCCAACCCCCCACCCCCCAACCCCCCCCCCCCCCCCAAAAAAAAAGGAAATTCTTTTTCATACATAGACGGTATCCTGAAACTGATGAAAAAAATAATTCTACTGAGATAGAAACAATATTTTCAATATTGAATACAAGTAATAAGCTACATTCAGTAGCATTCTGAACATTGATTACCAATTCAAGAGATCAGTTGAAAAATTACTCTTCGGTAATAGGAGGCTTGGGAATAGGAGGCTCTCCCAACCACTTTGCGCGATGGCCTGTTCCTTTACAGTCAGTGCAGCATACAGAACCCTAAAAAAAGCACAGAATTAGCTCTCTTAGATTGCATCTAATCTAACACATGTAGAAAACTAAATCTATTGCAACACAAGCAATCCTATTGGAATCTGGAATACATATAACTTCGAATAACATAGGCTTAGGGCAATTACCTTTCCACAGCAGATGACACAGCTTGTGTTTCGAGATGGCACTTGACAGAGCATATTGTCACCAAGTATAAAGAAACCAGTACCACTGCACCACTTGCATTCCACATGGCCATTTGAGTCGCACGTAGAGCATACAATTGGCCTGGGTTGCTGAATACATCCAGGAAGAGAGAAAAATAGACGCAATATCAATATGAAGCGAAGCCCCATTACAAATACATGAAGCCTTTTTTTGATGAAGAAATACATGAAACCTTAGCATTGCACTCAGATATGTAAACAAGGCAGAAGAGAACGATTTGGGTTAATGAGTAGATTAGAGACCAGTGGATCTCCACTTATCAATAAACTATCTTTTTTTCATTTAAAAAAGAAGATGTTGCTACCTTTTCATATCCAGAAACTGAACCATATATTCTTCAAGGATATAGCATATCATAGAATTTCTAAAATATCACCACAATGACATTGATCAATGCTCTTATTCACACTATACCATGCACAAGTAGCCCAACCTTCTGAACATTTATGTTTGACCACAAGGCACTCAACTTATACATGCACACATGTTTCAACTAGAAACTTTTCCTAGACCACCTAACCTCCAATGTTGCATAAATCTGTCTATCGTGGACCTAGCTTGACAAATCAAAGTTAAGGTCATCGACACTTGTAGCAAGCAGGGGCACGCCCTAGCTGGATTTGTGTGTTCAACAAAGTTGAGAACGAAAAGGTACTTAAAACGGAGAGACAGAGAGAGAGAAACCAAAAGGGTTTCTTACATGGTCCATAGGTAAAAAAATGAGGTGCGCTATCTCATGCCTTTTAAATATGCCTTATGGAAACAGGCATCACCCAACGATCCCAGAATGTTGAGAAATAAGCTCCAGGGCTATACACTCACTGGACAATACATGAAAGGTGTTGTGTTGTTTCCACATCCCTCTCACACATCTGACACCTACTACATATTCATACCCCTCTTCATCAGATTTTGATGAGATAAAGTAGCATCATGAGCAGCCTCCCAGTCCCAGCAGAAACATGCTACCTTATATGGAGTCTTTGTTTTCCAAATCTTTCGCCATGGTTACACTTCTCTGTTAATTGAAAAGGCTACCAAGCTTCTGTAGCAGCTATTAACGGAGAAAATAGCTTTTCTGCTAGCAGGACAAACAAATGTATTAGATTCAGTTAACTCTTCAGGGCATCCCAATGTGCCAAACAATTGTGCCACCTTCTAAATCTCGCAATCGTTATAATCTCTTCTAAATCTAATGTTCCACCATAATTCATTCCAACACTCATCAATGGTAGTGTTAGCATCTTCAGAAAATTCGTAAAGATCTGAAAATTGATCTTTTAAAGGTGTAGACTTATCCATACAAATCATGCCAAAAATAAATTCTTCTATTTCCCGCCTTCAACTTGGTCATAGTAAAGAAAGCATCTCAATGTTCTTTCATGTGCTTCCAATCGCTAGCTCCATGAGGTCCATGCACCACTTTACTGCAACAGGTGTTCTCTTCTCTTGATGTGATTAAGTTTCCCTTCATTATTACTTACATTCAAAAAAAAAAAAAAAGTTTCCCTTCATTATTACCGATCAAAAATAAAAGTTTCTCCTGCATTTTAACAATATAGATACTGGAAGGGGATTGCCTTTTCTTTATGAGATCGAGATCATGCTATTCTTGGTGCACTCTTCTCTTTTTGAGATCGAGATCATGCTATTCTTGGTGCACTCTTCTCTTTTTGAAAGAAGTCACACTCCTTTCCTTGGCAGAGGTTGTGCTTCTGGAAGTACGGTAATAAAAGCCATGCTTTTCACTATTGTTCGAAAGAGGATTCTACTTCTGAGGATATCCCAGAAAGTGCATCATCATGCCTCTTTCTACTTATACAATATGAACTTCGTTTTAACTAGATGTGTGCATTCGATTTATCGATTCGATTTTGACCCTTATCGATAATTGCTTATCAATTATCGATTTGTACATATGCTTATCGTTATCGTTTCAATAAGGTTTCGATTTCGATTTATCGATTTTGGGGGCTTATCAATTCGGTTATCGATTACACCAATAAGAAAATTTGCGGGATTCCACGGAAAGTATATCGCTATAAACGCGCCTAACTAATATGGACAAAAAGAAGCTAAAATAAGACGAACACCATTTATAATATAAAAATTGTGTCAACAAGCACATGCAACAAAACTAAAGTAAGGGATCAAATGTATGCCACCAACACTCCAACGGTATATAAAAAAAAAAATAAAAAAAAAAAACACATCATTACGGCTAATTTTGTTTTCCATTAATTTGAACTTCATTCCCTTGATCTTTAAATATGATCATTCCTTAAATGTGGTAGAGGAAATAATAGGGTAAGGGACTTAGGGTAAAGGAAAGGGTATAGATTAGGGAAAATAATATTGTATAGCCGCTTTCAAAATAGTAGCGGAATATATATACATTCTGTATGTTATATTAATCTACACAAATAGGTAATTGCTCATTTAACAAGTGTCTACAGTCTAGGAGTGTGCATTCGATTTATCGATTCGATTTTGACCCTTATCGATAATTACTTATCGATTATCGATTTGTACATATGCTTATCGTTATCGTTTCAATAAGGTTTCGATTTTTTCGATTTCGATTTCGATAACAAATAACCGATTCGATTTATCGATAAACCGATTCGAATGCACACCCCTAGTTTTAACTACTAACCAGAATACAGCAAGTTCCATGAAGAGGTGAAAAAAGATACAGGGGGTATCCTTTTTCTTTTCACCTCACTGACTCAACTACAACCAAACTGCAATAAATATATTTCAGAGGTAACACCAAAAAGCTTTATTTCCTCATCTCTAATTAAGCACTCTGTGGGAAAAAGTTATTGGACCTCTTCCCGCTGCCTTTCTTTATGCAGGTTGGGCCCTGAACACTACATTGAGGTTGTGTTGTTCTTCTGCTTCTCTTATATCTTACCCTTTTGACAAGTGCAGTTCTTCCGAACAACCGTGGTTCCTGTTAATATGAATAATCTTACTTCTGAAATAAGAAGAATAGTAACAATAACTATTAAGTTATTGTACCTCCCCTCGAACTCATATAGTTTTTAGCACTCCACATCTTCTTCATCATTTTTCCTCTTTGATATATAGCTCTGTAGTTCTAAGCTTAATATAAGGTACCTGAAGCATATATTTACATGACCCTTTCCTCACTTCAGCATCATAGCCACATATAGGTAACACCTCAGTTCTCTTTTACAGTATCACAATGTTAAGTAGGGGCGTTCGTCGGTCGGTACGGTACGGTATTTAGACATTTCGGTTCGGTATTCGGTTTCTTAAAATCCTATAACAATACCGTACCTAATTAAATTCGGTATGGTTCGGTTTTCTCCTTTCGGCTTCGGTTTATTCGGTTCGGTAACTTCGGTTTGAATACTAACTAGTGCATAGAGCCATACACTCTAATATTCTTAATTAAAGTACTCAAAAATACAAAACTGAAAATGTTTGTTGACAAAAATTTTGTCCAAAACTAGCAAATATCGACCGAAATAGAGAAAATTGTACATAAAAGAATATTTGATCATTAGAAATGTCTTAGCTAGCGTTTGGCCATAGATCCCAAATTTATTTTGAAAAATCTGATTTGGGTGAAGTTTGGTTTGAAGATGAAAATGTGTTTGGACATACGTTTTCAAAACATATTTTCCAACTTTATTTTGAAAAAACATGTATATAATTCCCAAGTTTTGGGATTTTGGCCCAAATTCAGCTCAATAGCTGATTTTGGAATTTGAAATTTTTGATTTGGGATTTGGCCAAAATATGAGCAAAATTTATGGCCAAACATGAGTTTTGAAAATAAATCTCAAATTTATTTTGACAAAACTTATGGCCAAACGGGGCCTTGTTACTTGTTTAGAGTTAATTGATGAACTTTGAGAATAAAGGAAAGTAAAATTTTAGATTTTTTATATTTATGTTATAATTGATAATATGTGTTTTGTGTAATATATATATATATATATATATATATATATATATATATATATATATATATATATATATATTTCGGTACGGTATCGGTATTTCGGTATTTTATCTAAAAATACCAAATACCATACCTAATACCAATTTTTTTTAAAACTTAAACCAAATACCAAAATTTTTGGTTTCGGTACGGTAATTCGGTATTTACCAAATTATGCCCAGCCCTAATGTTAAGTCCTATTAATCAAGATCAGTCCAAAAATAACCTATATCAATAATCACCATCAAAGTAAAAACAGAAACTATACATATGTTCTTAAAAAACGAGAATCATCATGCTAGGATTTATGATACTAGAATAATAACCTAAGAAGTACCTCATAAACGATCACATCCCTAGGTTAACATGTCTATACAGTACAAATTGTTTAGCCAATAACAAGCATAACGGAGAATTGAAACTGGCTAAGCTCACGTAGGAGAAGCATAACGGAGTTCACATAGCCACTCTCAACTACCTTAGGATTGAGGGCATAGTTGATAGATTAATCTTTTTGATAACACGGTGTCGATACAAGCTAGCCTCACACTGTCCCGGAACAGGAAATCTGGGACAGTGTGAGGGCATGTGCAAGTGACAAAGCACCTGGACCTGATGGGTTCTCAATGGCTTTCTTCAACAAGTGTTGGGAGGTAGTCAAGGATGATGTGGTAGCAGCAGTCCAGAACTTCCATAGCCAGGGAGTTTTTGAAAAAAGCATGAATGCCACCTTTGTGGCACTAATTCCTAAGAAGGTGGGGGCCAAAGAATTAAGAGATTTCAGGCCTATCAGTCTAATAGGCCGTGTATACAAGATCATTTCAAAGTTACTAATTGAGAGACTCAAAAAGGTGATCAACAAACTGGTGGACTCACAACAAATGGCATTCATCAGGGGCAGACAAATCATGGATGCAGTTCTAATAGCTAATGAATGCATAGACACAAGGAAAACAACCAAAGAGCCGGGGATGCTATGCAAGCTGGACATTGAGAAAGCATATGACCATTTGAACTGGGAATTCCTTCTTAATACTCTAGGAAGGATGGGCTTTGGAGGAAGGTGGATTGGTTGGATAAGATATTGTATTTCAACAGTAAGCTTCTCAATCCTGATCAATGGGGCCCAAACGGATTTTTTTCAATCTCAGAGGGGGCTAAGACAAGAGGATCCTCTCTCTCCTTTTCTATTCATTATTGCCATGGAAGGACTAAACGACCTGGTAAAGATAGCCCAAACAAATGAATGGATTAGAGGCTTCAAAGTGAGTAGCAGAGCTAATAGCAACATGAGGATATCACACCTGCAGTATGATGATGATACCTTAGTGTTTTGTGAAGCTGAAAGAGAACAGGTAAAGATAGTGAGGGTGATTTTCATTCTATTTGAAGCAATATCTGGGCTACATATTAACTGGCAGAAAAGTTCCATCTACCCGGTTAATGAGGTGCCAGAAATCCAAAGCTTAGCAAACATTCTGGGTGGGAAAGTAGGGGAGCTGCCAACTGTATATCTGGGGATGCCTTTGGGTGCAAAAAGTAAGGCAAAAGGCATATGGAATAATGTGCTGGAGAAATGTGAGAAGAAACTAGCAAACTGGAAAAATCAATACCTGTCCATGGGGGGGAAGATTGACTTTGATCAACTCAGTGCTTGATGCAATGCCTACATACTTAATGTCCTTGTTCCCAGTTCCAGTTTATGTAGTGAAGAAAATTGATGCTATGAGAAGGAACTTTCTGTGGGAAGGCAACAGTGAGAAAAAGAAGTTTCATCTGGTGAGGTCGAATGATCTGACTACCAGCAAAAGGGCAGGGAGTCTAGGAATCAAAAATTTAAAAGTGCAGAACCAATGTTTAATGATGAAGTGGCTATGGAAACTGGCGGCAGAAGATCAAACATTGTGGATAGAGGCCATCAAGGAGAAGTATGGAATAGAAGGTAACTGGACAACCAAGCCAGTGAGAAGTCCATATGGTGTCAGCTCATGGAGATCAATTAGAAAACTTTGGCCAAAAGTGATTAACAAATCAAAGTTCAAAGTAGGAAGCGGAAGTAAAGTATCTTTGTGGAATGATAACTGGCTAGGACAAGGAACCTTGAAGGGTCTCTTCCCTGACATTCATGAACTGAATCAGCAATAACAAGCAGTTTTAGCAGAGGTTTGGACAGCCCAGGGATGGAACTTCACCTTCAGGAGAATGTTAAACGTTTGGGAGATTGACAGACTCATTGAGTTCTATAGGGTCTTGGAACAGTTCTCTAGAATCAATGCAAATCAAGACCTTATCATGTGGCAAGGGAATGGGCAGGGAAAGTTCTCAGTTAGTAGTGCATACAAAGAATACAACCTTTCTAACAATCAAATCGGATGTTGGCCATGGAAGATGATATGGAAAGTCAAAATTCCATACAAGGTCGCTTGCTTCACATGGTTATTGGCAAAAGATGCAGTCCTAACACAAGACAACCTAACAAAAAGAGGATTCCAACTGTGCTCTAGGTGTTACTTATGTGGGGAACAGGCAGAGACAATCAACCATCTTTTTTTGCATTGCAAATTCACTATTCAGATATGGAGGATTTTCATTAGTCTAAGGGGAATCTCATGGGCAATGCCGGGAGGAATCCTTGATATTCTAGCTAGCTGGAATAAAGAGGGAGCACTTTCGATAGACAAAGAGAGATGGAGAATTGTCCCAGCTTGTATATCATGGACAGTATGGGAAGAGAGAAACCAAAGATGCTTTGAAGAAAAGTTCAACAACATCCAGAAGATAAAGATGAAATTTGTAGCTCTTTTTTATTTTTGGTGTAAAAGAAAACTTTTAGAGGATCATGAATCCATCTTAGATGCCCTAGATTCATTGTAAGAAGAACAAGGGTGAACAGTGTCCTTTTTTTGTTTAGTTTTGTATGGACACTCACACTGTAATTATGGGTGACTTCACAATTTTAGTGAAGTCTTTATATTAATATACAAATTGTTACCTTCTAAAAAAAAAAAAAAAACTAAAGCACCGAGTACCTACTAACTCCCACAGCACAAGCAACGTGTAACTCTATCCACCAATGCTTAGACATATGCTGCTGAGAAATCACTTAAGATTTTTTTTTTAACCTCTATTTAGACTAGAACCCTATCTTTTATGGTTGTTAAAGGTAGTATATCAATTTCAGCATTAACCGTAATCTTACATGGTCTGTTCAGCTTCGCTAGGCCACACCCTTATTTATACAGTTGACTGACTGATCACTTAATTGAATTGACAACATGAACAGATAAACAAAACACAAAAGTAATATAAATAGGTAAAGAAAAAAATGCTAAAAAATACCTTGGAAATCAACCAGGCTTTTTCCATGCGTTCAACAAAGTTAGATGAACTATCAACTGCTGATGCTCTTACAACAAAAATTCTGACTTTTTGCTTTAATCCACGGTTCCCTTGAAGGATCAATTGTATACCTTTTGGTGTCACAAATCGATTAACAACATTTAATTTTGCATTAATTATGGGTCTACAAGTACTGCTACTTGCCATTTTTTCCTCTTCTTTTTCCTGTTCAATTTCCTGTAGAAAAATGCATCGTTTTATGTTGTGTGTTCTAACTTCTAATACAAAAAACAAGGTATGAGTTTGCGCGTTTTTCGTGTGGCGTAAATAGTTTTTTGATGAAAGTTCCGTCGGATATTATTGAAAAGATAGTTTAGTCTGACCCGGCTATGGATTGGACCGATCGAACCCATTGTCGTATTTCGGATCTTTCTTTTTCTTTTTTTCTATTTTTTTGGTATTTCAGATCTTTGCAAGATTTTTTTTTTTCTATTTCCGAGAACCAGTTCAGATTCATACCGGGACGTTCGATTATGGAAGTTATTCATCTGGTGAAGAGATTAGTGGAGCAATATAGAGAAAGGAAGAAGGACTTGCATATGGTGTCCATTGACCTTGATAAAGCATACGATGAAGTTGAGGTTATGTGGAGGTGTTTGGAGGTTAATGGTGTTCCGATAGCATACACTAGGGTGATTAAGGATATGTATGATGGTACTAAGACTCGAGTGAGGACTATGGGAGGTGACTCAAAACACTTCCCAGTTGTGATGGGGTTACACCATGGATCGGCTCTTAGTCCGTTTTTATTTGCTTCGGCGATGGACGTGTTGACGCGGCACATCCAAGGGGAGGTGACATGGTGCATGTTATTTGTCGATAATATAGTGTTGATCGACGCGACGCGAGGCGGGATTAACGCAAGATTAGAGGTTTGGAGTCCGTCTAAAGGTTTCAAGTTGAGCATGACCAAAACAGAATACTAGGAGTGTAAATTCAGTGACAAGACTCATGAAGCAGACGTGGATGTGAAATTTGATATTCAAGTTATCCTCAAGAGAGATAGTTTCAAGTATCTCGGGCCTATTATCCAATGTAACAGAGAGATTGACGAGGATGCCACACATCGTATTGGAGCGGGATGGATGAAATTGAGGCTCGCATTCGGCGTTCCACGTGATAAGAATGTGCCGCCAAGACTTAAGAAAAAATTTATAGAGTGGTGGTTCGACCAACCCTGTTATATAGGGCTGAGTGTTGGCCAGTCAAGAACTCTTATGTGTAGAAGATAAAAGTAGCAGAAATAAGGATGTTGAGATTGATGAGTGGGTGCACCAAAAGAGATAAAATTAGGAATGAAGTAAGACGAAATGACATAAGGGTTACTTAAACTTGTAGTTGTTTGTCATCCCGATATATAAACTTACACTTTTCCCATTTTAACACCTTAACTCATATATTTGCACACTGATAAACACATATGATTGTGTGTGGCCCTCAAGCGCTATGATACAAATAATGTGTCACATACGTATCCTCTTCTAATTGCCATGTGTAATTTATGGGTCCCACCTTGTAAAAAATTAATTTACTCACAAAAGTTTTATTTCCCATTAATTCTCTTCATCTAGGATGATACTAAGCCATCATTTTTCACAGTAAATTTACCATTTTCAATTGTAAGCATCCAAAGTTGATCCTTCAAATTCTAATCAAACTTTAATAAAAAAATTAGCCTAAAAATGATTATAACACTCTCGAAAAGACCCCTAAAATTACACCGGTGAGATTGTCGCCGGTAAAAATGGCAACCATACAAAGAATCCCAATACGTCATTGCTTCAGAATTTTGCCACCGGCCTGACACCTTCCTTACCACTTTATCTTCGTGACCTCTTCTTCAACAAAACCACTAACAATAGACCAAACAGATATGACACGCCACCATTCCAATTTCAATACTCTTTGCCACCAAAATTAAGAAAAGAAAAACGAAGAGACGAGCAATAACCAAATCGATATAATTTTCTGATTGTGGAGGAGTTTGAGGGTGTGGGAAAACATAAGGGAGGGAGGGGAGAGGAAGCTAGGAACAGGAACAGGAAAATTAAATAGGGGACAGTTTTCTTTATTTTTTTCCTTGATTTTATCTTTCTTTTTTTATTTTTATAATTTTTTAATCAGATTCATTCATTCACGCACCTAATTAACGTGATTTGCATGCATTTTGGCCACATCAACTATATTGTTGTCGTGTAAGCATAGTTAACGGTCAAACGTGTTTATTAGTACTCAGTTCATCAAGTAAAGGTGCTCAATTGGGAAATATGTAAGTTTATATACCGGGATGACAAATGGTTGCAAGTTTAGGTGGCCCTTAGGCCATTTTGCTATGAAGTTATTTGGGACAAAGTGGGAGCGTTCTCCATGGAGGACAAGATGCGAGGTCGAGGCTGAGATGGTTCGGGCACGTTAAGATAAGAAGCATTAATGCTTCTGTTAGGAGGTGTGAGAGGTTGGCCATGGCGGGTTCGAGAAGAGGTCGAGGTAGGCCAAAAAAGTAGTGGGGAGAGGTAATTAGGCAGGACATGGCTGCTTTAGCTTACTAAGGACATGACCCTTGATAGTAGGGTGTGGATGTCGAGGGTTAGAGTAGAAGGTTACTAGGCAGTTGAAAGTTTCTCCTTTTCTTACCAGTAGTATTAGCAACACTCATGTGCCTTCATATTCTCAGATCTATATTACGGCATGTTGTTTAGTTCGTTTCAGTTATCATATTTCCCTGTTGTTACTATTTGGTACTAGTTATTTGTTTCTCCCTCTTTTTCTTCTCTTCCTTTTCTTTCTTTTTCTTCTTCTTCTTCTTCTTCTCCTCACCTTTTTTGAGCCGATGGTCTATTGAAAACAGTCTCTCTACTTTTATTAGGTAGGGATAAGATTTGCTTACATACTACCTTCCATAGACCCCACCTACGATAATATATTGGGTTTGTTGTTGTTGTTCTTCTTCCTTTTGTTTTATGTGCCTCTGTAAGACTGACGTTTAAAATGTTAATTTGATTTAAATAGTAGTAATATATTGGTGATTGATGATGATGAATTCAAATTATTGTAAGTTGTTGAAGTTTACAGAGAAATGAAGTCGTGTCAAACAATTTGGAAGATTTAAGTGTCATATAAATTTGAAAATAATGGAGTAATATTAAACGAGTTGAAGGAAAAATAGGATTGTAATTTTCTTTTTATTTTGCTATAAACATCTGTTTTTCAAAATCTAGGCGCTCAACTGATCTGATTCTCACGTGAAAGTCACTTAAGGGGTCATTTGGGTAAAAATGGCGTGTAGTAGCCACTAATTAAGGGTGTCTTTAATTTTTATCCACTAATTATAATGCTCAGCAAAAATAGCCACTACTAATAAGGAAAAGACTGTTTTACCCTTCCTTCATATGCCAAAATGCCCAAAACTCTTGTTTTTTCATTCAGAAGAGGGAAATTTGAGAGGGGGGCAAGTTCGCGTGTTCTCTGCTACTGTATCATCCTCGCATGCAAACGAGCTCCAGTTAATCTTTCTCCTTCTTCATCTTCTCTGAATCGATCGATCTAACTGGTAATTTTTGAACATGTTCTTAACTTTTGAACTTAAAACTCAAAGTTAAGGACAGACAGCCCTTAAGTTTTAAACTTGAAACTATAAGTTAAGGACTTCCTGTCCTTAACCTTTAATCTTTGAAATCAAAGTTAAGGATAGGAGTCCTTAAGTTTTCAACTTTGAACTATAAGTTAAGGACTTCCTGTCCATAACTTTTTAACCAGAAAGTCAAACTTAAGTTCTGCGTTGCTGCTGCGCTGCTACTGCTGCTGCTCGTTAATGTTAGCGTAGGTATAAGTTATAGAAAAGGGTATTTTCGTCCAGTCAGCTATAAATTTATTAAACCAGTGGCTAAAGACTAAAGACATTTAAAACACTGGCTTTAAAATAAAGACAGGTGCTGTTAGTGGCTATTTGTGCACATCGCCCGTCATTTGGTTACAAGATAAGGGATAATAATCTTAGAATAAAATGTGAAATTATTTTACTTCGCGTTTGGTTGAATTTCTTTTTATTTCGAATCAGTAATCTCGAAATTATTTATATCATAATTGTAGTATTAATTTCTTTACCGTCCTCTATGAGAGATATTACCCGATAATGAAACAACACATTTGCGCTTCTCCGAAACTTTCTCCCAAAGTCTTTTAAAAAGTCAAGGTTAAAATTATAAATAAAAAAAGTGTATCCACTAAAAAAATTCCATCATTATTTAATATTCGTACTATATTCCCCATATTATAATCTCAATACGCTATAACTTAATCACAAACCAAACGACCCATAAGGGGATAAAACATGTTTCCTACCAAAAGGTTCTTCATTTCTAAGATAGCTTAAGACCTCTTGTTAAAGGTAGATTCTTACCTCTAAATGAAAGACACAATTTCACCTTTAGTCAGATATCCCGAGTTCAAAAATGTAGGAATGATTTATGCTCAAGAACTAAACAACTGTGCTTGAGACATAAAGTACATTTTTTTAATGAGGAACTAAATTATGCTTGAGACAAAATTGTGATCAGGAAACAGATTCTCGAGAACCAAAAGCCAGTATGGCAATAGACAATGGAAAGGTGAAGTTGCAAGTGAAAAACTTGTATGGAGTAGTGGTATCTTTTCCATAACATAAAGGAGCATTCAGTGGTGAAGTTCCTATAGAAATATCAATACTGATCCTGTTGAAATTTCTAGAGAAGAAAGAAAGAATGGAACTATTGACATTCAAGAACTTACATATAGTTACACACAAAAAAAGAATAATTATGGCTAGAAACAATCAGTCATCTGAATTTCTGAAGTCACAAACTGAGCAGCAATATTGACCCATTGACTTAGGCTCAGTTTCCATTTGGCATGATTGGTGAATGTTGACTGTTCATAACTACCAACGACCTCAAACAGCCAAACAGCTCGGTCATTCTTCTGAATGCATGTGTGGACATTCTTACTCAAGAATAGATCCCTCGGACTGGTATAACCAAAGGTAATCTAAACTAGAAATCATACTTCGTCCTGCCACTTCTTAGGATTAGACATAACATATCAGGAATATCTAAAAATGACGATGACTTTAAGAAGCTCCAAGACTCCAGCATAAGTCTCTTTCTTGATCCCTTAAAATGCACTACCTGTGCCCAAAAATGAATTGAAAGTTCAGAACGAAACGAGGCATCCTTCCATAATCTCATTTAATGAAGTATGCTGTTCATCACGTGACTGGAAGGTTACCAACTCTTGATTCTTTTCAGATTTTCAATAGCTGT